GGAGAAGGAGTGGGGTCTGGGTTTAAGGGTGGGGCTTACCATTGTGGGGGGTCAGCATTTAAGGGTGAGGGGTCAGTGGAAAGAGAGAAGTCAGTCTAGGGAGAGGAGTTTGGGGTCAGATCCATCACTGAGGGAGAGGGTGTGCATGTGTGTAGGGGGGCTGTGCTCAGGGTCACTGTAGGAAGGGCAGAGGGGTGTCTGGAGTCAGCACCATGGAGCTCGCTGGCCTGCTGAAATCCCTGCAGCTGGAGAGCCAGCGGGAGAGGGGAGGCCCCGAAAGCCCCCCTGTCTCTGCCCCTCCAGCAGAGCAGGTTCTTTCCCAAATCCTCTCGCTTTTCTCAGCCCCAGGAGTCAGCAGCAATGCCAAGGCAGGGATGGTCAGAGACCTGCGGGTGCTCTTCGAGGCGGCAGACTGTCAGTGGCTGTTTGGGGACTCTCGCCCTAGTGCAACCCCCAAGCTGCTGGAAGATTTGGTGACTGCCCTGAGCCACTACGCAGGACTGCCAAAGCAGGAGTCGGACACCAGGGGCCCACCCAGCGATGAGGGCTTTTACGCCACAGTGCCTGATAGAACAGCCGAGGTTGGCTTGGTATTTCTTAGCCTCCTTGCTAAAGTGGAAGCTACCAAGGGCTCTAGGACCCTGGGTGCCCTGGCAGTGAGACAGATCCCGCCACGCTGCCTAGGACGGATCTACATCTTTGCTGCAGCGCACCATTCGGAGAAGCCATGGACCAACCCGAAGTCTCAGGCAGTAGCAAAGGAACTGCTGACTTTGCTGGTTCAGGCTGCAGGCTGCGGGTCGCTGGCTGAATTCCTCCGGGGAGAAAGCGAAGATGAGGAAGGGAAGTTTGCTGCCGTGATGGGACTTCTGAAGCCAGAGCTGACTAAGTGAGTAAGATCACTTATGGGGGGGCATGTTGGGGGTGGAAATGTTGGCTTGAGTCACACTATTGAAGGTCTGGATTACTGGTGTCCACTGTGCAGTGAGATGAGGAACAAGCTCTATAGAGAGGATAGGGCAGGTAGCTGGGATCAGCACCTGAGTTGGAGAGAATCAATCAGCCCAAACATTGGATTCCTCCCAGGGAAGCGGTATGCTAGTCTGCCCTAGTAGCTGAGGTTGCTGACTGCTACTCTGGCCTGATTATTGTTCGGCACGTGTTACAGACATAAACAAGTGTGCCTGCCCTGGCCCCGTCTTCTGCTTGTTCTTGAAGTTAATGGGAGCTCTGTGGAGAATCAGGCCTGAAGGATATCAGTGGTGTACCCCCAAACCTATGGAAACAACAGGCCACAGGTAACAGAAAGATGCTGACTGTAATATGGTAATAGAAAGACCAGACGATTATGTTACTGTCTTTCTCTTATCTAAACAAAAACCACTGTTGGAACGATAGTTACATCTCTGACATTTTCACAGCAAGGATTAATAAACCTGGTAAAACTTCCTAGACATGTAAATAGTGTTAAAAATAATAATTTGTGGCTACATGTGAAAATGTTAGGGTGTGTCTAGACTACAGGGTTTTGCTGGTAAAACTATACCTGTGTCTACACTGTCGCTGAGTTCTGTCGACATAACGTCGACAGAACTCAGCAGTTTTGTCGACGGCGGTAAACCTCATTCTACGAGGAATAACGCCTTTTGTCGTCAGAGTTCTGTCGCCAGAAGGCGTTATTGCATCTACACTGTCCTTTGCGTCTACACTGTCATGTCGACAAAGCAGCTTGCTTTGTTGACAGAATTGGCTGTAGTCTAGACGCTCTCTGTTGACAGAAGCTTTGTCGACAGATAGTCAAAACTTCTGTCGACAAAAGTCTGTAGTGTTAATGTTTTATTTACTTGGACTCTTACTTCTGCTGCTAGTGGCCTTATCATCCCCTTTTTGCTGGTTCAAGTGTCAAGGATTCTTTGCAGAGCAAGAAACTATTTGATTTGAAGAGAGGAAAGATTTGCATATTAAAAAACGGAAGTCTGCCCTAATCCCAATCCGGTCCTGATCTGTGACCGGAATCTTACATGGTGAGATGCTTCAGTGAAATCACTATGGTAAATCTTTGCTTTGTGCATTTTTCCAGAGAAACTTGGAAGCGTAATCCTGCCACAAAGCATGTGTTCTCCTGGACGCTGCGTCAAGTCACCCGGCCGTGGCTTAGCCATCACCTGGAGACTGTCCTCCCCCCATCTCTGTTCCTTTCGGATGACTACCAGGAGGAGAATAAAATCCTGGGCGTGTGCTGCCTGCATCATATCATTCTTAATGTGGTAAGGAAGGATCACTGCTGGGAGGAAGAAGGACCCTGGTGCCAAAGGAGAACATAAGGAGGAACTGTGGTCCAATGGTTAGAGCAGAGGACTGTTAAGTCAGGATTCCTGGCTCTGCTGTTCACTCTCAGGATGACCGGGGACAGGGAACACTGTTTCTCAGCTTTGTTTCATTAGTGTTCAAACTACTTATGGTGGCAGCTGGAAAATATTCACGTCCATCTGTGTGTGACTCATAAAAAGGTAGATGCTAATAGGGGCTATTTATAAGAGGCTGGGCAAATCTTAAAATATTTCCACATATGCTCCCAATTACCTTAAACTTAGTGCTGTGGGGGTTTTCAGGCAGTGCTGTTTGAGCAGGAATTGTTTATTAATAAAACACTGCTTTTCTCTAGACCTTTCACATAGTATCTCAAAGCACTTTAGAGATACAAAGACACCATCTTCCCCTCTTGCGAGGTTGGTGAATATTCACCCCTCTCTAAAAATGGCAAAAGAGGTACAGAGCAGTTAAGTGACTTAAGGCCACATGGTGAGTAAGGGAAATAGAACTCAACTGTCCTGTTTTCCAGTTCCCTGCAACCATTACGCTAGGGCTTAGTGTTTGTTATTTGGAAGAATATTTTAATAGTGCTGGTTTGTAAAGCACTGATTTGCTGTTGCACTCTCCCTATGCTCTGAAGTGCGGCACAGCTAGTATCCTGTTCTCTAACGCCTTGTGTATACTTACCTGGAAGGTCGAATTAAGATACGCAATTCCAGCTCTGTTATCTGCAGGGCTGGAGTCAACTTGCCTTAATTTGATCTTTGGTGCCATCTCTGCAGTGGGAGATGACAGGACCAAATGCTCCTATCAACTTCCCTTACTCCTTGCGAATCAAGGAGTACTGGCATCGATGAGGGTGCCTTCGGCGTTTGATTTAGCCGGTCCTTTACCAGTCCCACTAAATCAAATGCCAGAAGATCAACTGTCGCAGCATTGATCTTCCCAATAGTAAAGGCATGGCCTAAGAGAGGTGAGGCGATCAGCCTTGTATAAAACTGCTGTATATGGTGCACCTTCCATCATGCTGAATATACACACGGATGTTTCCATGTTGTTGCAGCCAGCTGCCGATTTGAACCAGTTCAACAGGTCCCAGGTTGTTTACCACGCACTGTACCAGCACCTCTATGCACGGGAGGCGCAGCTCATGCAGGTGAGCCGCTGGGGATTTTAATTACTATACTGGCTAATTCAGACGATTGGGAGTGAGATGTAGAATCTCCATTCTCTAGGTCACCCTTTCTAATCTAGGCTTAGGTTAGCACTCTCAGACAATTAGTTAGTGGCCCCCGTATGACATGAATTTGGATCGAGGTCTTAATGGACAGGGAAAAGGACCTCACCTCCTGCTCCCCACATTGGCAAGCCAAGTAGAGAGGCTAAAGCTGCAAAGGGCCATGAGGGAATGCCATACAATCTGATGCCCTAAGACAGGTAGTCCAGGGGGTACGTCAACTCAAATAGGTATTTGCTTGGTTTTACAAGCTATGTAAACACCACTAGTGAACTCAGGACAAACAAAAATTTCATAGTGGTAGAAATGTAGTCGTGTTAGTCTGGTGCAGCTGAAACAAAAAACAGGACTGTGTAGCACTATAAGGACTAACAAGATGGTTTAATGGGTGATGAGCTTTCGTGGGCCAGACCCACTTCCTCAGATCAAATAGTGGATTTTAATTGTATCCTTTGGTATTAAACCAACTTGTTAGTCTTTAAAGTGCTACACAGTCCTGTTTTTTGTTTCAAAAATTTCATACAGTGACTTGTTTCTATGCCCAACATACTGCTGTGTAAGTACAGTATTCCAGTCGCTAGTAAAGCCGTCTGCTTCAGCAATAGCATGCTGTGATGTTTCGCGTTGCTATATCTGATGTGGGAAGCAAGTCGTTTTAAGGGAGATGAAATGTGGGGGTACCACAGACAAATCAGACTCTCAGAAGGGGTGCAGTAGTTGGGAAAGGGGGAAGGACCACAGCCCCAAGAGTACTAAAATCACTGCATGGCGACTCCCACCCTGCTTCTCCTTGCATCAGGTGGTGCTGCTGTGCTTGCTAGACCTGCTGCTGGTGCTGGAGAGAGCCCCGCAGGGACTGTCCCAGAAACCCAAAGCAGCTGCTCCCTGCCATGACGTCCTGCAGCTCGTGCTGACTCACATGGAAGCAGAACATCGGCTCCCTCTCCGCAGAGTGTATGCCAGGAACCTGCCTGCCTTTGTGGAGAGGTGAGCGCTGCCCCTTAGGCCGTCAGGGATCACTTACCAGGCATGGTTACTTCCCTCCCTGACTCTACTTGTCTTGGCAGACTTGGCATCCTGGTCACAAAGCACCTGAAGAGGCTGGAGCGAGTGATCATGGGCTATCTGGAGGTCTGTGACAGTCCAGAGGAAGCAGCCAGACTGGGAATACTAGAGACACTGAAGTGCACCATACAGCATGCCTGGCCAAGGTACCGTCAGAGACAGCCTTGCTAGGAAGCCAGAGCTAACTGGCTCTGGCTCTTACGGAGCTTACACTTGCCTGGGCATCTTGAACCTAGAGGAAAACTTAGTCTTGGGTGGGTGCGTCTAGACTGGCAAGTTTTTGTGCAAAAGCATCTGCTTTTGCGCAAAAACTTGGCAGCTGTCTACACTGGCCACTTGAATTTGTGCAAGAACACTGACGATCTAATGTATGATTGTCAGTGTTCTTGCGCAAATACACTGATGCTCCCGTTCGGGAAAAAGAGGGCCAGTGTAGACAGGTAAAAACTGTTTTGTGCAAAAAAGCCCCGATGGCGAAAATGGCCACCGGAGCTTTCTTGCACAAAACCGTGTCTAGATTGGCACGGATGCTTTTGCGCAAAAAGTGCTTTTGCACAAAAGCATCCGTGCCAATCTAGACACGGTTTTGCGCAAGTGCTGTTAACAGAAAAACGTTTCCGTTAAAAGCATTTGCGCAAAATCATGCCAATCTAGACATAGCCAGGGAGTTCTGTGTGCCCAGGACTCGCTCACAGCCTGAAATCCCTCTGCAAGTTGAGAAACTGGCTCACAGCGAAACCAGTTCTTGTTTTGGCCTGACTTGACAACTGTGGTACCACCCAGGAACTAAGCCCTTTGTCCTGCATGCAGCTCTTTATAGACGATTTCATACTCTGTTTCCTCTGCATTTAGGGACAGCGGGCTCCCTCTGGTGGTCACATTAGAACACGTCCATCCCAGTGGCCACAGGATTTGCCTGCATTTTAGGAAAGTTCAAATCACGAGGGTGGTAGGGATATGAAGGTTAACTGGTAAACATCACGCTTACCAGAGGACGCTTACCTGTTATGGTTAACCACACGGGGCTGGAGCAGCTCTACCCGTGGTAGGCCTGGCCCGGCGCGCCACACACGGGGCACTCCAGCCTTGCTAGAACTGTCCCCCTCCACCATGGGCCTGACCCAGGCGCGCAGGGGTGCTTCAACCCAGCCGGCTGGGCTGCATCGGCCCCCCTGCCCACCCCCATTCAGTCGGTTAACTGCTTAAACATAACATTTAACTGGTTGACTAACGAAATGGGATTTTACATCCCTAAAGGTCAGCTCTAGATGGTACGTTGCTATGCAGTAAGCCAGGCTGTGAATTAACAGCCCACAGGTTGTTGCATAGCAACAGTCCACGCGGACACTGTCGCAGTACAGTCAACGGCCCGCAATGCTGATTGGTGTCGGGCACTTCAGACAGTCAGGCTGTGCTCCGGGGCTTGCGCTGTAACCATGTTCATAGTCTCCGTGGCAACTAGCATCCTATAGACTCAGACCCTGGCTTGCTGCACAGACTAAAGGAGGGAAACTTCAAGGGCGGGGAAGGAAAAACGGGAAGGGCCATGCTCTAGGACGGTATTTCCCACCGTTTGGTGTGTAAAGTAAATGCCAAACTACTCTCACTGCTTTAAAAATAACCCTCTAGCGCCCGCCTCTGAGGCACGTCTAACCCAGCCTGTAGCTATCCTGAGCCCACCGGGCAGCTAGAACCCAGCATGGCTGAATGGGAGACAGGCCTGCTCCAGTAAGCGGCTCCTGCTGCCCAGAGGTCAGGGCAACGTTCCCCAGCCCGGCTATTCACAGCGTCTCTTTCCCCTCCCAGAATGGCCTGCAGGCTCGCCGTGCTCCTCAAGGCCCTGCTGAGGCTGATTTGGGATGTCGCTACTGATGGAGGCCTGACACCCGAGCCAGCGAGAACAGCCCTGTTCCAAGGGGCCACAGAGTGCCTGATCCTGCTGGATCGCTGCTCTCAGGGGCAAGTGAAGGTGAGCCAGGGCCTCCAGCGATTGCCGTAGCTGAAGTTGCGTAGCTCATTTCGGCTTTAGCCCTGCTGTGTGGACATCCCTTAGGGAGGTGTCAAACTCTCTGGGCCAGCGCAGACTCTGGCAGTGTCCCCTTCTCCAAGTGAGACAAAGCTGGTGCAGGAGGTGACTCAGCTGCATACATGGGGAAACTGGAGTTATAAAAGTCACCCACTGAAGTACAGGGACACTGCCACCTCCGTGCTGGCCATGCCTTTCAGGTACTGAAGATGGGTAACGAGAGAGTAGATACACGAGGAAGCCTTGAGGGCCACGCTGAGCCCTGCGCAGATACAATAAACGGGGATCCGCATCTGCGAGGCTCAACTTGTCATCCAATCTACCATGCGGATTTTATTTCCATCCACTTCTAGGCTGTGTCTACGCTGGCGCGATCTTGTGCAAAAATGGCCGCTCTTGCACATAAACTTGCTGCCTGTCTACACTGGCCGTGAGTTCTTGCACAACTCCACTGACTTTCTAATGTATGAAATCAGGGCTTCTTGCCCAAGAACTCTGATGCTCCCGCTCAGGAAGAAGCCCTTTTGCACAACTGTTCTTGCGCAAGAGGCCAGTGTAGACAGGCAACATGAATTTCTTGCGCAAGAAAACCCGCTGGTTAAAATGGCCATCAGAGCTTTCTTGCGCAAGAGAGCGTCTCCACTGGCACGGATGCTCTTGCGCAAAAGCACATGCCAGTGTAGACGCTCTCATCTGGAATAGTTCTTGCACAAGAAGCTGCCAGTGTAGATGCAGCCCTACAGGGCCAGCTGGAAGGGAGGGAGCACAGATGTGTGAGTGGGGTGGGGGTAGGCAGGGAAGTGGCAGGCAGCATGAGACCATAGACTGGGGTTAGGGGCAGCAGGAGGGTCTTGAGAAGGGGTGCGGGACGGGGAAGGGAATAGAATTGCATCCTGTGCTGGTGCAGCTGGGGGCTCGTGAGCGCTGGCAGCAGATTGTCAGGTCATAGCAGGGCAGTGAAGCATCAGCTCCTGCCCCGACCCTGCACCCTTGCCCCTCAGCAGGGTAGCTCGCTACTTTGCTGGGAGCCCTCCTCCTCCTCTCCCAGAAACCAGTCCCCTCCCCCCGCACGTGCTCCCAGCTTCACAAGCCGGCAGCACAGACCAGCCTGTGGGATGGGGAGCACGTGTCCCCGAGCGAACCGGGACCAGGGCTCCCCCCAGCTCATCAGGCGGGGGCAGCACCTGGCTCCTCTCGCAGGGAGATTTAGGAGCTTGCTGCATCCCTTCCCCCGCCAGGCCGAAGGAGTGAGCCCACCCTGGGTATCCGTGAATATCCGCAGCCCCGATACGCAGGGCTCTCCACACAGCCCTGAACGAGGGTGTTCTGCTCTTCCCCATTCAGATCCTGCTTGAAGGAATCGGCAAGAGCTGTGACGACAGCAGCCTCCAGGCCTGCATCAGGCAAGTGCAAGAGAACACCTGAGACCCGCCTACGAAGAGCCGAACCTGGTTTGGTTTGGGGGTTTTTTTTTTTTTTTTTACATTAAACTATTTTTGTCAGTGGCCCTGCTAGAGTCTGTCAGGCGCTCCCCCGCCTCTCCCGCCCCGCTGTCCAGCACACAGCTCAAGTTCATGCCCTCCGTGGAAGGAGTCAGGTTCCTTTGAATTTGGCTGCAGGTTCTGTTTCCTGCTCATACTCGATTTCAACGTAGGCTCGTTTCCTCCTGGCTGGTCCCTTCACGGGCGTTTTGCCCTTGGATTTCGAGGGATGAGCTCGCTCCGCCATCTCGCTTTCCTCTTCCTCGCTGGAGGACTGGTCATCCCGCTCCTCCTCGCTGCTTGTCCCCAGCTTATCCATGTCCTGGACGGGAGGCAAGCCAGGCGGGTGAATACAGATACTGACTAGAAAGCACAGGGCTTTAGCTAAGCCTCCGTTCCCCTGCAAGTGTAGGATTCCCTGTGGAGGTCCCGGCTCCCCGTTCTCTATTCCCTGCTGCTTTGGAAGGGAACAGAATGGACACGCTGCAGTCTGATAGTACAGCATGTGAATCCAAGTGCTCTGGCACTAATCCCTTGAACCCAGCCCTGACCACAGCCGGAGGGCAGGAAGTTGGGAATTAAAAAGAGCTAATCTGGGCAGTTGCAGGAGGGCGGAAAATATCAGGGTGATCAGGGCTGCATTCCACTGACTTAGCACCCGTTCCTGTTCTGAGTTGAACTAGAACCCTTCAGCCAGGTGAGTGCCACCCCCTGTCAGAGTGGGGCCAGGACACCGTCCCCCTTCCCGTTTAATGCACAGCTGGATCAGGCTGTTTCACATACCTCGAAATCACTGAGGTCGCTCTCGTCCACCTCTACAAACTCCCTCTTGTTAGCGTCCTGCAAGAGATCAGGTCAGAAATCGAGCATCTAGCCTGAGTACACGGCCCGAGGACCTCGTGGGGGGAGGATATCACCGCAAGGAATGTGCACCCCACTCGGAGTGAAAGTCAATGTGCTGGGCCATCTTTTACAGCAGGATTCACGGGAGAGCCTGGAGCTCCGTCCCTCCATTCGCTACATGGACTCAAAACTATAAACGATGAGTTAATAGCAACACCTTCTCCGTACCACACAGCAGAGTCCAGAAGCTAGTGGTGTGTCTGCCAAGCCAGGAACGCTAGTCGCTGCTAGCAAGGGAGGTGGGGTGGGCTCCGCTCTGGAGTGGCCTAGAGGATAGCACATTCACTTGGAGAGCACAGGGTGGTGCGGGTTCCAGTCCTGGGAGCCGCTGGACAACCAACAAAGGCTGCCCTAGGGATGGACCAGGCTTCTGCATTAGGAAGGCAGGATAAGGGACTCCCCAGAGGCAGGGGGGACCCTGGAGTGGCCTAGGGCAGTGCCCCATAACCCATAGGGGCACCCAAGAGAAGTCTGTGGGAGTACGTCAACAGAACAAATATACCATGATGGTATCTTTACAGCTGACTTCTGGCCTAAACCCCCTATAGATCTTGGCACCGATTCTCACGGAAGGGATTTGAACACTGGTTGCAGGTTACAAAGCTACAAGCCAAATCGCTGCTGTACTCGGCTAGCAAGAGGGAGAGAAGAGGAAACGGCAGAAGAGAAGGGAGATGTGAGTGACTCTTAATATGCCGTTGTCTCCGTATACGTCCCTCTTCTGCAAAATTCACATGCAGCCCCATGCACCCAGCTCTACAGCAGTCCAGGGTCAACTGCCACACTCCGCTGGAAGAATTCATTTTAAACCCATTAACCTCCTCTTCCTCCTCTTCCTTCTCCTCCGCGTCCGACTCTGCTTCGCTCTCTGCTTCCTGCTGCTCCAGAGCCTTGTCGAAGGCATGAATGGGGAAGTTGTAGATATCGCCGTACTGAAAGGAAAACAAGCCCCTGCTTTAAATCCTGCCGAGAAGACAGATCCGCTTGGAACTGACTCCTCCGCACCATGCTGGGGGCTAAGAACGCAGGTGATACCAAACCAGATGAGACCCGTAGGCCCACATATGGTACTGGCCCCTAAGAAACCTGCCCGAGTTAGCAGCCTGAAGGGAAGGGAAGGGAAGGGGTAGAACTTACTTTCTTGACATTTGCAGTGGTCCCCTAATGCCCAGATGCATGTCAGCTTCTCCCAAACTCACCCCCCTAGCTTAAGACGCACGGTTCTGATGCTCAAGTCATTGACAGGGCTTTGGTGATACACTGCAGCCAAACCCTATCACGTACCTCCCTTCTGGAGCGTTTCAGGTTAACACGCTGAATTGAAGTGACCCAGCTCTGTGAAATCTAGTGCCTGGTACCCCCCTTTCTGGTTCAATAGGTGGAGTAATTTCCTTGCATAGGGTGGATTCGCTAAGGGAGATTACTGAGCTGTCTTGCCCCTGTGGCATATGGAGAGAGCTGATTCGTTAGAACTGGTGGAAAAAACTGAACTTTCTAATCATGTCTGATAAAAAGGGAGAAATTTCAGCGATTCCCTGCCGTGTAGCTTTTCTCATCAGGGCTCCTCGCCAGCCCTTGCTGTTAGCCCGGCCGTTCACGCTGCTGACCCAGCTGTAGAAGGCCAGGGGCCCGGCCTGGCTCAGGTTGTTCACTGGTTTATAGCGCTGATTTTTGCCGCACCTTATGCCCGTCGTGTGATGGGCCACTTCAGGACTGACTCAGAACCTCTGCAGCGATGAATAAGTACAGGACAGAGCTAGCGACCAGTAACGCTGTCCTAAGATGAGAGCGCTCATCTTCCCACCAGCATTCCCCATCACAGGAACGGCCACGTAAGACCAACCCGCCCTCCGTGCCCCCCATCTCAGCCAAGCGAATGACCACAAGTTAGTTGGAACTGCTGTGAGCAACCCTGCAGACAATCCAGCATCGTCTGCCTCCCGTATCGCTGTTAGAACGAGCGGGGGAAATGCCCCCCCGCCTTTGCCGAGGGATAGCCCCTCCCATCTCCTCGCACAAAAAGGCAATTCTTACCGTTTCCTGCTTTAGTCTCTCCAGCAGCTCCTTCTCTATGGCGTTGTCCAGCTGCGCCGCGATCAGGGCTTTTTCCTAGTACCAGGGGAAAGAGGAGTTGGCATCAATTCACTTCCAAGACGTAAATAACCGGGAGCAGTGAAGTCAGAACTGCACAAGCATCACGTTACCTCCCTCCTTTTCTCTCGCCTTTCAACCTTTTTGCTTAAAGGAACGAGCTTCCTCCTGTGGCGAGGGAAGAGAGACGGGCGGTTAGTGATGATTTCGGTCTACTGACCACAGGTGAACAACGAGCGAGCGAATGTTTATTCAAGTCCCTCCACAACCTCCGATACAGGGTACTCCCTGCTCCCTGCCTGGCATGCCCTAGCTTCTCAAAGGAAATAGAGGCTAAGCTTGTAAAAGCGCAGTCTGAATCAGTTTACGTGCGTCTACATTAGGTGTGTAACTAAATTGGTTTCAGACTGATTCGGTTAGAGGGATTTTTTTTAAACAGTAGATCTAACAGAGGCAAACGGGTAGATGGTATAGTGTGGGGGGAGGGCCGAAGGGAGGGGAGCGCCATCACTTACTGGCGCTTGAGGGTCAGCTTCCGAATGCGGATCAGGTACTGCGTGATCTTGGTGAAGCGCTGCTTGCATTTGTGCCGGAGGAAGCGTGGCCAGTAGATGAGGTTCTCGTCGATCTCCTCCAAAGCCTTCTCATAGTTCTTGCTCAGTCGCACCTGGCGAGAGAGGGAGGGCGAAAAGCTTTGGAGCGGAAGCTGTGGCAGGACATCCTCGCGAAGGGGAGAGGAGCGTAAGGGGGTGGTGGGGCTGCACAGCTTCTTCTATAGCCCGGCCCTCGAGGAAGGACGTCCTTGCAGATAAGACACTGGAAAGTGGCTCCCAAGATCTGGCTTCCAATCCCAGTTCTGCCACCGACTCCCTGAGTGACCCTGGAAAGTCATTTCATCTTCCCCACCCTTCTCTCCTCTCCTGTGAAATGGGGACCATTCCCTTCCTGCCTTCGGTCGGTCTTGCTGGTTTAGACCACAAGCCAGTGGGTCTCAAAGTGTGGTCTGTGGCCTATGGCCAGCTTGCAGGTGGGCCGCGGGCTCAGGGCTCGCCTCCATTCCTGCAGCAGGGAGCCTGTGCAGGCGCGCCAGCCTCGCACGTACCCCCGAAACGTTGGCTTGGGGGTCTCAGGGCAGGTTCCAGCTCACTGGGGAAGGAAGCGGCTCTGCATGCTGCTGCTCCTCCCCCACCCCCGGCTGGGGGAATAGTGCAGGCAGCCACTCACTCGCTGCCCAGACCCCCCCGTGCCCAGCCAGCCCCCGC